TAACAAAGGGTTCGTTGCATAGCAGCGACCAAGGTTATATAGCGGGGTTGAATGCATTCGCACAGAGTCTTGGAACAACCGCCAGGGAGGACAGTCCAGTGTCGGCCACGATATTGTAAGCAGTAATTGTAACACTGCAAGTGGAAATGATTGTAAAGTGTGTGTAAGGCGAGCGAACGGAATAAATTCGCTATATCAGACAACGGCGTGAAGTTATTTGTCGCGTTATACACCCAACACTTGACAACTGGTGTCAGAAGTTTTACGAACTTACACACGCCACACACTAATTATTGTGCATCAAGTACTTTCCTGCAGCAAAATGGAAATTCAGCAAATGTTGGAACTTCTGCTGAAGAAAATCAGCGCTGGCCAAGAAAAAACAGACGAGATGCTGAAAGAGATGAAGGCCGATAGGCAGGCTGAGAAGAAAGAATTGCTGGCCTCAATGGAGGCCAACCAAATAAAAGCCGACGCCCAACATAACGAGATGATGGCCGATTGGAAAGCCTGGGGGGAAGAGAGGAGAACTACCCACAAGAAGATTGAGCCCCACTCAGAAGTGATGCAGTCCGTACTGGAGCATCAAGAGGTCCCCGTAGAAGACGCCCCGAGAATACCGGTCGGAGAACCGAAGAAAAGGCGTAGGGACCGGAAACTGGCCGCGGAGCGCTGCCGCCAGAAAGCGAGGGATTCAACGCGGGTAATTCGTGAGACCCATAAGGAATTGGCCATCACACACAGAGTGACAACACGCCGTGCGGAAGTGGCACGGCAGAAGAAAAAGAGCAGGAAGTCATCCCGTCGCGCGACAGTGGCACGACGTTGGAAAAATGCCTCCAAGAAGGAAACTCCCAAGGGAACCTTCGGATGCCGGAGAAAGGACTTGATGCCACGGCCCCGTAATACCAGCAATTGGCGGGAAGAACACAAGGATCGACGACGTCAGGAAGTTCAAACCACACTTCAGATGCTGTTATGTCGATATAAGAAACATCTGAGGAAGTTAAGAATCAAGAATTGGATCTTATGGAGGGGTAGGCCCCCCCCAAAAGCGGAAGAGAGAAAACGGCCAGTATGGGAGGAACCAGTAACGTAGAAGTACCGGCCTCCCCCGCAAGGGTGAATGAAGAAAGAATGGAAGGATGAATGTACATAAAAAAATCGGACCGACAAATTATCGCCTATGGGAGTACTCGGGGCGAGCACCACTGAAGAAAGGGGCGGATACGGTTAGGCGAACAGCGCACAAAGATGCCAGCAGACGCCAAGACCGAGTGCAGACGCTGTCAACAGAACACCGCAGAATCGAAACTGAGGGAGAAACTTTAGGCTGTTCAGAGACGAACAACCTTTAGAAGGGAGCAATGTAACGTGTCTGGAATCCAGAAGTCACTTCTATGGAAATGCTAGAACAGACCGTTGCATAGGAAACAACAATTGCTCTATTGTAGTTCTAACAGGAGTCTCCATGGTTATAACAAAGGGTTCGTTGCATAGCAGCGACCAAGGTTATATAGCGGGGTTGAATGCATTCGCACAGAGTCTTGGAACAACCGCCAGGGAGGACAGTCCAGTGTCGGCCACNAATTGCGAAATCGGACTCTGCATTTCCGGATTTTTTTTAGAATTCCACACGAAAGCAACATTCTGGCAGATGACGCAGGTGGGAAGACAGATACTCCATGCAGATGGTGGCCAAAAATTATATAAGTAGGACATTATTTTCTACCTTAAAAATGTATTTCAAATAACGTCCGCACGCGCGGACTGTGCGACCCCATATGGGGACATTCGTACCGCTGACTAAACTTGTGCGACCCCGTATGGGGACCTTAGTCGTTTAAAGGNTAAATCCTGTTCTTGGCCATGTTTAGTATGATACTATCCAGATTAAAGCTTATAGAAATGTCTGAATTCTGCAGTACAGAGATGCTACTCTTATTCATCATATTCTGTCAAATTCCTGCACAGTTCAGTGGTATTAAGTTGTCCTCTCTTCTCCATTATCCAAATTCAAATATGAACACAATACTGTGAGTCATCTTATAAAACAGTTGACATACCTTTAGAGACTTCTCTTGGTGGAGTTCTTCCCATCCCAGGTTGTGGAGCTGTTACCTGCTGTGAGGGTAATGGTCCCTTCATACCAGGAAATCCAGGTGAAGGTGCCACTGGAGGCCTTCTACTTTGTGCCTGAATGTCAGAAGTCTGTGAAGGTGGTTCATGGCTTGCTTCAGCCTGTTTGGGTTTCCTCCATGTGGAAGGTGGAGGAGGTGGCTCCTGTGGTGGCTGGGCCTGCTGTGGTGGTAGTCTTGGTCTAGGTTCTGCACAATATTAAATATAAAAAACTGGTAAGAAAAAATTGTCATAAGAAAGGCTCCAGAAACATGCTCCACTTGTTACAAGTGAGAAGAGTAAGCAGTGGTGAATAAATTTTGTATCCAAATCTAAATGTATTAAAATGAATAAATAATGTATTTATTATCATACGTAAGACAAAGAAATAAAATTAAGAAATGTATTGCTTTTTGTCTCAATTTACTGTTCTGTAACATTTAATATTATGAAATCATCTGATGCAACACTATGGGTGAGTGGCTTATGTGAAGTGGATAATAGGTTCAAGCTGTCTCTGAACTTTGATCAAGACAAGACTAGTTCTTGCCTTTTAAATGTGAAGATTAAATTTCTAAAATACAGTGAAAGTATCTGAGATGAATATTTATATGTTATTTAATGTAATATCAACTACATTAAGCTTCATAATTTTTCTCCTCTCCAAACCCTGTCATGATAATCAAATCAGGGAGAACGAAATTGACACAGCATGTTGCAGACATGGAAGGGATGAGAAATTTGTACAACAATTTGGGCAGAATATCTTAAGCGAAGACACCACTCAGGAGCTATATACATTGCTGAAAGGATAACACTGTCATGTGTATGTGTGACTATAGACGGGGTTTAGATTGGTGACTGGATTTACTGACCACTTATACACATGATTCAGAACTACAGGCGATTACAGTGCCACTATATCTACAATTCACAAATCATCACAGAACCTGNACCAAGGTTATATAGCGGGGTTGAATGCATTCGCACAGAGTCTTGGAACAACCGCCAGGGAGGACAGTCCAGTGTCGGCCACGATATTGTAAGCAGTAATTGTAACACTGCAAGTGGAAATGATTGTAAAGTGTGTGTAAGGCGAGCGAACGGAATAAATTCGCTATATCAGACAACGGCGTGAAGTAATTTGTCGCGTTATACACCCAACACGTGACAATATATTTCGGGAACTTTTGGATTGCACCACGTATTTCCATATAACTGCCAAGAAAAACGAACTTCAGAGAAGAGTTAAATCCTGTTCTTGGCCATGTTTAGTATGATACTATCCAGATTAAAGCTTATGGAAATGTCTGAATTCTGCAGTACAGAGATGCTACTCTTATTCATCATATTCTGCCAAATTCCTGCACAGTTCAGTGGTATTGTTAAGTTGTCCTCTCTTCTCCATTATCCAAATTCAAATATGAACACAATACTGTGAGTCATCTTATAAAACAGTTGACATACCTTTAGAGACTTCTCTTGGTGGAGTTCTTCCCATCCCAGGTTGTGGAGCTGTTACCTGCTGTGAGGGTAATGGTCCCTTCATACCAGGAAATCCAGGTGAAGGTGCCACTGGAGGCCTTCTACTTTGTGCCTGAATGTCAGAAGTCTGTGAAGGTGGTTCATGGCTTGCTTCAGCCTGTTTGGGTTTCCTCCATGTGGAAGGTGGAGGAGGTGGCTCCTGTGGTGGCTGGGCCTGCTGTGGTGGTAGTCTTGGTCTAGGTTCTGCACAATATTAAATATAAAAAACTGGTAAGAAAAAATTGTCATAAGAAAGGCTCCAGAAACATGCTCCACTTGTTACAAGTGAGAAGAGTAAGCAGTGGTGAATAAATTTTGTATCCAAATCTAAATGTATTAAAATGAATAAATAATGTATTTATTATCATACGTAAGACAAAGAAATAAAATTAAGAAATGTATTGCTTTTTGTCTCAATTTACTGTTCTGTAACATTTAATATTATGAAATCATCTGATGCAACACTATGGGTGAGTGGCTTATGTGAAGTGGATAATAGGTTCAAGCTGTCTCTGAACTTTGATCAAGACAAGACTAGTTCTTGCCTTTTAAATGTGAAGATTAAATTTCTAAAATACAGTGAAAGTATCTGAGATGAATATTTATATGTTATTTAATGTAATATCAACTACATTAAGCTTCATAATTTTTCTCCTCTCCAAACCCTGTCATGATAATCAAATCAGGGAGAACGAAATTGACACAGCATGTTGCAGACATGGAAGGGATGAGAAATTTGTACAACAATTTGGGCAGAATATCTTAAGCGAAGACACCACTCAGGAGCTATATACATTGCTGAAAGGATAACACTGTCATGTGTATGTGTGACTATAGACGGGGTTTAGATTGGTGACTGGATTTACTGACCACTTATACACATGATTCAGAACTACAGGCGATTACAGTGCCACTATATCTACAATTCACAAATCATCACAGAACCTGCTAAGCCTTTTCCAGTCTGCTGTGTCTTCACCAGCCATTCCCTGGCAACAGCTTCTAGCAGTGGAGATTCTTCAGCTTCATGTGCTTTGGTTCTGTGTTCACAGCCTCCTGTGTAAAGCCGCCTAACAAATGACTTTGTCTCTTGCTTATAACAACTCAGCACAAACCATGTGGAAACACCCCATTTCCAACAGTAACTCTATTGTTGAGTGCACTTGTTGTTGCGGGAATGTGTTTATCGAGCTGTTGCCCAGAAATGGTCACTGTTTACAGAGCCACTGCTTGGCAACAAGTCTATATGCCATAGCATAAAAAAGGAGAGTAAAGAAACAGTGAGGATACAGACTGGATTAATCTGGTTCAGTTGTGGGCTCTTGGGAACAAGGTTCCATATAAGGCAGAAAATTTTCCGATTAGCTTCTCAAGGACTCTGCTCCATGGAGAGATTACATTACATAAAATGACATAAAAGACTCAAAAAGAGGTAACAGCCTGCCTCTGGGTATAACCCCAGGTATCTGGGATTAATCAGTGTTCAAATATTTATCTGAATGATACTGAAGAGAAACTGTGATGTGTACAGGCTATTTGGCCTATGTCTATGCAGTGAGTCTGAACATGCATGGTGTGTGTTCACAGGAGTAGCATGTGTCTCATCAAACTGGCCATGGAAGTATCTACTCCAAACACATTACACTGCACCCTTCTAAAGGTTGTACGTCCTGAACAGCCTAATGGTTCCTCCTTTCTTACAGGTGTCCCTTGGTGTTCTTCTGGCAACGTCTGCATTTGGTCTCGCTGTTCTTCACGTGTTCTTCTGTGGTGCTCATTCTACCGCATCCGCCACTTCCTTCAACAGTGCTCGTCTCAAGCACTCCCATGGTCCAGAATTTGTTGGTTCCATTGTCTGATATTCATTCCTCACTTTCATTCTTGCCGGGGAGACCTGTGCTTCTACGTTATGGGTTCCTCCTCAGTTCGTTGATTCCTTTTCCGTTTCAGAGGGGGTGGACCCCTCCAAAGAGTCCAATCCTTGATCATGTCTTCCTTGAGAAGTTCTTTATGTCGACGTAACAGCACTTGAAGTGTGGTCTGCACTTGCTAACATCGTCCCTCCTGGTCTTCGTGCCACTTGCTGGTATGAGACTGTGGCGCAACAGTGCCCATTGCTGGTTTCTCTTCGCTGCTACAGTCACTCCACAATGGATGGGACTCAGCATGAAGCTGCTTTCGGAGACGGCTAATTCCTTTCTCCAGGATCTGAAACTTCCCCGAGTAGTCTCCTTCTTGAAGGCATCTCTCCTGCATCGTGCCATTGCTGCACGACGGGACACCTTCTGGTCGGTTTGTTTTTTTCATGCCACTTTCACATGGTGGCTTGTCCCTCTGTGGGCGATGGCCAGTCCTTTTCGGTACTCATCCTGGGTCTGTTTGTTCAGCTCTCTGCGGCCAATTTCGGTCCTTGTACCATTTCTTCTTCGGTTCTCCAACTGACATTACTTCGGCGTGTTTTATGTGGACCTCTTCTCATGCTGCCTCAGGTTTCATGTCAACTGAGGTTGGCTGTTCTTCTCCTTGATGCGCCTCCGTCTCTTGGCAGGCCGTTGTCTTTATGTCTTGCTCAGGTTCGACTTTTTCACGTGAGGCTTTTCTGTCCGCTTCCATTGTCTTGTCTCTCACAGCGGCCAACTCTTCTCGCCATGCTTTCATATTGGCCTTCCTGTCGGCCTCCAATGTGGTCAGCAACTCCTTGTGGCCGATCTCCGCCCGGGTCTGGTTGGTTCTAATTTCCTCTCACACGGCCAGCAAATCTTCTTGTGTGGCCTTTGTATTTGCATCCATTTCTTCCTTGTCGGCCTTCCTACTGGTTTCCGTCTTTTCTTGGCTGGCTCTTATCTCCTTCAGCAGAAGTTCCAACATCTGCTGTGACTCCATGTCCTTTTCGCGTGTGTAAGTTCATATCCCACTTCTGAAACATCAGTTGTTGCATGTTGGGTATGTCATGAGTCAAATAACTTCACGTAAGTCAAGGATGTAGTGGATATTTATTGTGCTTCGCCTCTGCACTCACACACTTTACGATTATTATCACTTGCAGTATCACAATTACTGCTTCCACTATAGCTCGGCGAATCCATTCAACTGTCTCCAATGGCGGCTATACTAAGATTCCAACTTATACTGAATACTCCGTCTTCCATTCTAATAACTCTCTTGTAACTCAATACTGCTGAATAGTGTTCACTGCTTCTTATACAGGCTCGGCACGGACAGCACAGAGAACACATTGCTGCTCGGCAATAGATATCAGGTATTGTTGTTGTCAGGTGTGTCTACCTATGCATTGTCTAGCAATAGATGCCTGACTGCTGCGTGACATCACAGCCTAGTGGGGACGGGTGTTAATTGAGCGTTGTTATGCAACAAACACTTGTTGCTACAGATATTTCTACGCAATGACCTATTGTTATTGCGTTACCATGGAAGTATCTACTAAAAAACATTACAATATATATATGGACTCAAAACAGGATCCAGAGGTTTGTTCCTGTGAAGATTTATGAATCTTTGGTTCCTTAAAAGGCAAGAAATTCCCAGACTGACTCTGTTCCATGGTTAAAGGCGAAGTGAGTGACAGTTACAATATATGTGAAGTAGTTTAACACCCAATAACAATTCACTGAGAAGTCTTTATCATTTATTATGTGAGCTTCCACACTATTAACATCCCCTGCTTTCTCTCGTATTCCTTTCCAGTCCTGTGTGTTCCCAATTGAGGCAGACATCTTATGCAGTGGCCATGCAATCATGGCATCGACGTTGTGAACAATGTGTACGGCTGCAGGGAGATTATGTTGAAAAGTGAAAGAAGTTTCAAATTTTTTGTATGATTATTGTATGAGAGAAAAAAAATTGGAGACCTTAGAACTTGAACGCACAACATGGAACTCTTTATATATTGTAACGTACGCACAACATGGAACTCTTTATATATTGTAACGTGTTTACGTTACAGAATACGCCGCAGAGATCGTTAATTGGTTTATTCAACGATCTACAACTATCGGCTACAATTAATGATAACAATGTTACGGGTTTCCACACTTTACAAACCCTAGAACAAAATCTCTTAACACTCTCTTCAAGAGTCTTCACGTACTAATAATGCGGGAGCTATACAAATCTCCCTGAATTACACACTTTCACTCGTAACACGCCGCTGGCTAGATTCCAACTCTGCTCGCAAGATGCTGCCTTGAGAACTGTTGATAACACACTCGGCGACTGTCACAGTACAACTGACTCTGAATAGCCTTCGCTGCTCCTTATGTAGCCTTGATCGGACAATTGTCGTCTGGTGCCGTGTTGCTAGCCACGCTGTCCGGAGTTGTTGACTGCTGCCTAGCAACCGCGATATCCCTCGGTGACGTCACCGCTGTTGATTCGCTTTGCATAGTTTCAAGGTCGTGGGGACTCAGCTAACGTCGGCTCCACTCGTGACGTCACCGCGCGTTGCGCGTTGCATAGCTACCAGGGTGCGGGGTGATTACTCGCCTATTACACGAGCGCTGCGTTACCACTACGTGCAGCTGGGGAGGTAGGGGTCAACATGTCACAATATATACACACACACACACATACATATTGTCGCGTATCGGGCGTATATCGCGACAAATAAATTCTCGACGTATTCGATGTAGCGAATTTTATTTCACATCCGCTCTCACAATCACCCAAATTACAATCTGACGATTACTGCTATCTGCAGTATCACAATTAGTACACTCCAAATGCCACAATCCAACTGACTGGCTGACTTTACGTCTTGGTTCGGCGACTGTTACTTTATAACTCGGCGGTAGCTCCAGGACTCACTGACTGACTCAGTACAACT